GGAGGCGGCGGCGGCTCCTCCGGGTGCTGCGGTGGAGGATCCAGCGGTGGCTCCTCTGGCCAGACCATCATCATCAGCTCCGGAGGTGGTGGTGGAGGCTCCTCCCAGCACAAATGTCCCATTGTCATCCCCAGCGTCGTGTCCCACCAGACCAAGCAGAGCTCCCACTATCCCTGCGGCCAGAAGTGATGGCCCAGGGCAGCTCCAGCTCCCATCGGGAACAGCCGAGTCTCTGCACCCCAAACCTGCCCCTGGCCCATCCCCTTCCCCTGTGTCCCCTCGGTGCTACGTCCCCATGCTGTGAATTCCCTGGTGGCCCCTCCGTGCCATGAATGTGACGGGAAATAAAGATTTCTGTGCACAGACAGATCTGGTTCGCGAGGTCGCTTTCCTCCTTTGTTGGTTCATTCCCCAAAAGGAATAAAATATCTCAAAAACATTCCCAGAAAGGAATAAAACATCTCAAAAACATTCCCAAAAAGTAATAAAACATCCTAAACATTCCCTGGGAAATGTTCTCCAGCCTCCAGTGCTGGAGCAGGCACTCATTAACAGATCTTTCCCATATCCAACTTAAATTACCCCTCTGTCACCATGACCCCATTCCCTGTGTCCCATCCCTGCAGTTCCTGAGGAAAAGTCCCTCTGCAGCCTCTCTGAAGCTCCTGGGAAGGGCTCTGAGCTCTCCACAGAAACTTCTCCCCTCCAGGCTGAGCATTCCCAGCTCTCYCAGCCTGGATCCAKARGGAAGRGGCTCCAGGCCYCTTTATCAAYTTCRTGTCYTCCCCTGGACYTGYTCCAACAATTCCATGTCCTTGTTATGTTGGGGACACCAGGTCTGGACACAACATTCCAGGTGGGATCTCACCTGAGCAGAGAAGAGGGGAAAAAAATCCCCTCCCAGACCATCCTGCCCACTCTCCTTTGGATGCAGGCTGGAAGCAGTTGGATTTCCTCTCAAAGAGGGAAAATTGTCTCAAAAGAKACTCTCAAAGTCCTCTTTGGGAAGGGTGGGATTTGTCTTGGGATCAGTGAACTTTAAGCCAAAAGGGGTTTTGTCCATCTCACAAACACAGCCAGGAGGGAGGAAACAAAATCAGGAATCAAAGGGATCATGAAAGCTTTGAGGGATCATGGCTGATGGGTGATACCCTGCCTTTTGGAGAAAAACTAGAAAGTTCTTCTCCAGAGTCACGTCCCACATTTCTGAGCATGYGGGAATCTGCTGGGAAAGGAACTGTAGGATCTGGGAAAGGATTTGTCYGAGCTCGTATCAACACCCAACAAGGTGTGGACACTCAGGAGATGGATGAAAGGGTACCGTGATCTGCCAGCCTTTCCAGAGGCTGCTGGGACTACAAGGAAAAAACAWTCAAGAAACCAAGAAAGAGGACAAGACTCATTTCACATCCCCCTTCTCTTTATCCAACCAAATCCAAAACCTAACCCTAAATCAAACAAACACAAACACTAACCCTAACAATAGCCCGAGCCTAAACCCTAACCATAAGCTAAATCCTAAACCTAACCGTAGCCCAAACCCAAAACCGAACACTAATTCAAACACTAATCCAAAACCCTAACCCTACTCCTAAACCTAGACCTAAACCCAACCCTAACCCTAAACCAAACCCTAACCCAAACCATGATCTAACCTTAACCATAGCCCAAATCCTAACTATAAACCTAAACATAACCCTAAATCAAAATCTAGCCCTAACACTAATCCTAAACCTAAACCTAGCCCAAACCTGAGACCTAACCCTAACAGTAACCATAGCCGAAACAATAGCCCGAACCCTAAACCTAACCCAAACCCAACACTATAACCCTAACCCTAACCCAGTACAGATTGTGGCACTGCTGACTCTCCCAGCAGCTGTGCTCYCAGCCACACTTTCCCTCCACATCTGGCAAACAAATCCATGTGCTCCAGGTCCAGCCCTTCCAGGGGGTCCCATCTTGGGTTCTCCACGCTCTGTAGCTCACAGGAGCTCCTCTCATCACACTCCAAAACCCCCACGGCCTTTCCTCATCCCCGGGTGTCCCTCTGTGCCAATGAGCTCCTAATCCCGGGTGTCCCTCTGTGCCAAAGAGCTCCTAATCCCGTGTATCCCTCTGGGCGGGTCCCAACACGCTGGAGGCACAGAAGGGATCAAGGTGTTGAGATGCTCAGGAGCACACCACCCACACAGCRGAGCTGGGAGCCAGAACAGCGGTGACACCTCAGATCTGGAGATGAGAACAGAGATTAGGCCACGGGAGGGACTCCAGAGACGAACGAAGCGTCCCCAGTGCTGATGGCCCTGTCCCCATCCCAAAGGTGTCGCGTGCGAGTGTTCAAAGTCACGTTCGTGGTGACGGAGCTGGGACCTGMTGCTGCTGTCACACGTCCCCACTGCCAAAGCCCATTAGTCCTTCCTCTACTCARTGTCCTGGGAGGGCGGATGCTCCTGTCAGGCTCCAACCACGCGTGACACAGAGCCAGCGCTGGGACAGCTGTGCTGACAAAGTGTCATCTTCCAGCGATCATCATCCTCACCATCCCGGTGACTCCCCAGCTCACGTGTGGGTGGGGTGGCCACTGAAGACCCCCAGAAACGGGCCCTGTTGAGRTGGAAGGGTGGTTCAACATCCTAGRGYTCCAGGGGAGGGTCTTGATGGCMTCCAAAKGYGCCTTTGCAAGCGGAAGGATTTYAAAGGTTTCCCCACTCCAGCCTGGGGATGGAGACCCCTGAAAGGTGGAACTGAGGTGGAAATCTAACAACAGCTTCCAAAAACTGAGAGGAAATGTCACCTTTGTCACTGTCACCCTCACAGTGTCCTGTGACACGGGTCTGGGCAGCTCCAAAGCACAGCACTCCATCAGGGTGGTACCTCTGACCTTCCCCAACAGGGACGTGTTCCTGCTCCCCATCTTGCCAGTCATCAAGGAAATTCCCCAAAATTCTCTGGACTGTGCCCCAGCACATCCTTTATCCTTGTCTCTGTCTCCAACTCACTCCATTCTCCATCCCTCAGCATCCGCTCGGTCCCCACGCTCTCCAGACCACCTGAGAAGCTCCAGCCCAGCAGAAACACTTTGGGGACCCCCTGAAGAGACCCCGAGATATCATTTTGCCCAAGAATTCAGAGCAAGGCTCCCGGAAAGGGATCATTAAGAGGAATTAGCTTTGCAGAGAGGGATTGATGCGCCTCCTTCGCATCACCTCTGCTGCAGGTGAGTCAAGGAAGGAGGCAGCTGGAGCCAGGCTGGGTCAATAAATCTCACGGCATTCCTTAGGGTGTCTCACTTCCCTCGCCAGTGCGGTGCACCGGCTATAAAAGCTCAGCCATCCCAGGGCTCCTCATTCAACCAGCTCTGAGCATTGTGACGTTCCCACCACCACTGAAGGTAAGGCCGTGGATACGGAAACTTCTGGAACTTCTCCAATGGGAGGTCCCGCCACCGGTTGGCCTTTGAACGTTCTTTGAACTGTGGTGGCTCCACCAAAAACCAACTGGAGGTGCCAACAGAATTCCTTTCCTTGGAGAGGGGAGTTGTAGCTGGAACTCCAAGGGCTGAACTTTCAGCTGCTGAGTCACTGTGAGACATCCAGAGGGATCCACCAAATTTTTGCGGCGTGTCAGAGCCTGCGTGCACAAACCTCGGGAAGTGTTCCCAACCTTCCCGCACGCAGAGGTTTCCTGGAGTTGTTGTGACCTGCAGAGAGGTCCTTGGGGTGCCATGGCAGGGCTCACAGGGGTGAGGGAGTTTAGGGCTGCCGTCCTTGTAGGGCCGCCCAARATGGGACAAGCGGGGACGTTGCTGGGAATTCTTCCTTCTCTGTCTGCTGGGGAGGCTCAGCCAAATCTCCAAGGTTCTCCTGTCTGACAGTTCTGTTCCTTGCAGGGTCACAGCTCCAAGATGTGCTCCAAACAAAGCTCCGGAGGCTGCCATGGGATGTCCTCCCARTCCAGCGGATGCCACAGCAGCGGCTCCTCCAGTTACCAGTCCCAGGGCTCCTCCTGTTGCGGGGGCGGAGGGGGCTCCTCCGGCAAAATCATCATCAGCTCTGGTGGTGGAGGAGGCGGATCCTGCTGCAGCGGGGGCTCCTCTGGCTAYGGGATGGGAGGGGGATGCGGTGGTGGATCCTCCGGGAAAAAGGTCATCATTGGAGGGGGAAGCAGYGGAGGTTCCTCTGGATGTTGCAGTGGGGGCTCCTCTGGCTACGGGATGGGTGGAGGATATGGTGGTTCTTCAGGATCAAAGAGCATCATTGTAGGTGGAGGATCCTCTGGATGCTGCGGTGGAGGATCCAGCTATGGGATGGGTGGAGGATACGGTGGTGGATCTTCAGGATCAAAGACCATCATTGTTGGTGGAGGTAGTGGAGGATCCTCTGGATGTTGCAGTGGGGGCTCCTCTGGCTATGGGATGGGTGGAGGATATGGTGGTTCTTCAGGATCAAAAACCATCATTGGAGGTGGAGGTAGTGGAGGATCTTCTGGATGCTGTGGTGGAGGATCCAGCTATGGCATGGGAGGAGGATACGGTGGTGGATCTTCAGGGACAAAGGTCATCATTGGAGGTGGAAGCAGTGGTGGAGGTTCCTCTGGATGCTGCAGTGGAGGATCCAGCTACGGGATGGGYGGAGGATACGGTGGTGGATCTTCAGGATCGAAGAGCATCATTGTAGGTGGAGGATCCTCTGGATGTTGTGGTGGAGGATCTTCAGGTTATGGAATGGGAGGAGGATATGGTGGTGGGTCTTCAGGATCAAAGACCATCATTGTTGGTGGAGGTAGTGGAGGATCCTCTGGATGCTGCAGTGGGGGCTCCTCTGGCTACGGGATGGGTGGAGGATACGGTGGTTCTTCAGGATCGAAGAGCATCATTGGAGGGGGAAGCAGTGGTGGAGGTTCCTCTGGATGCTGTGGTGGAGGATCTTCAGGCTACGGGATGGGTGGAGGATACGGTGGTGGATCTTCAGGATCGAAGAGCATCATTGTAGGTGGAGGATCCTCTGGATACTGCGGTGGAGGATCCTCGGGTTATGGGATGGGAGGAGGATACGGTGGCGGCTCCTCAGGAGGGAAGACCATCATGGGAGGGGGAGGATACGGTGGTGGATACTCCGGATGCTGCAGTGGAGGATCCAGCTACGGGATGGGAGGAGGATACGGCGGTGGCTCCTCAGGCCAGACCATCATCATCAGCTCCGGAGGTGGTGG